AGGAATGAGTTTTCTGCTGGAATTGGGCACAGTTTGTTTTTTGAGAGCTCGGAGCAAAGCCATCCAGTCATTGAGAGATGCCTGGGTGACTCTTGCGCTTCCCACTTGAGCAGCAGGACTCGCTTCTTCCCACGGAGCTGAGGAAAGGAGAAGAAAGCTGAGCCTCTGTTCTGCACTTCCTCAGCAGCTCTGTGGGTTTCCCATTTCCCTTTGAAAAACTGGAGCTGGAAGTATCATGTCAAGGAGATTTAAATTCGGAAAGATGTGACCTGCCTGGCTTCCAAGACGGCATCAAGGACTCGGTCATTTCACCATGTGCACTGGGGGAAGAATGAAGGTGCAGCGCCTGGGGCTGCGAGGTGGGGAGGGAGCAAAGCCCTTGGCTTGGCCGCAGAGCTGAGCCGGGGCAAGAGGCTATCTGCAAAAGCCTGCTCTGCCCTGGACGGAGAGGGAGCTCTGCCCGAGTCACCTTCACAGCAGCTTTGTGCCATTCTTCCCACAGGGATTAGAGGAAATGGTCCGAACCGTGGTGATCGCAGTGGTTGACAACCTTTGCGCTTACGGTGTGCGCTGGAAACAGTATTTGGTGCTGCCCCCAGCAATGTTCTGGGTGAAGGCAGCGCTGGGTGTGTAGTTTTCTGAGCGCTGAGGGCTGCGCAGAGAACCATGAGAAGCCTCGGTGTCTGCTTCCTCCCTGTTCGCTGTGCGTGGCCACTGAGAAACGCTGAAACGCTGCGCGTCTCACCCCCATGGCCACGTCCGCTGCTGAATCGCTCGGTTCCTGCGAGCACGTGGGTGTGCTCCTGCAGTCCTCGTCCTGTGCGTCCCTCTTCACCTCTGTTGCCCGTGAAGAGAGTCCCTGCCAACCTGCCTTCCCCCTCTCTCAGCTCTTCCCTCTCCCGTCTCCGTCGAGTCCCTCCCTAACTCCTGCGGGGTTTGACGGTGGCCTTCACGGCTGGCCCTTTGGATTCCGAACCCTGGGCAGGGCTGGAGCAGGAGGGGTTTTCACAACAGGCGTAGTGTTGTCTTCAGCCGTTTTCTGGGACACGGTCTGCGTTTGGTTGGGTTGAGTTGTTTGCCGCACTGACCTGCCCGGTGTGCCTGTCCGAGGGGCTGCAAGCCCGGCAGGGACTGCGTATCCGTGCGCGCGCGTACGTTCCCGCGAGTGCTGCCCAAATAACCTCGTGTCACGGCTTGTAACCCCGTGGCAGGCGAACTGCTTTAGGGATGCTGGGATGTGCAAGGTATGGCACATGACTCCAAAGGTGGGACGCGGGAAGGCCGTGCGTGCAGAGCGCTTCAGGTGCTAGTAAGTAACGCGCAGTTCTCCGTGTTGTCGTGGCACGGATGCGTTTCCTCGCAGCAGGAGGTCGCGTGTCCGTGATGACTGCCGTGCCAGTAAAGCATGTTTCTCTGTCAAGCGGGAAGGAGGGAGGAAGACGCCTTTCCCCCTCCCCGAGAGATGTGCCGGACGCTGCGTGCGCTTCCCCACCCGCGCAGAGCTGTAGCGTGCTGGCAGGGGGCCTTGAGAAGAGACGTTGGACTGGCGCTTGCATACTGTCCGTCCCCGCTGCATGCTTGAATGCCACGCGTGAAGCGGGTGCCGTGCCCGGCGCAGAAGCAAGCCGTTAACAGCTCTTTTCTCTTTGCCTTTAGCCCTGATGAAGAATCTTCGCAGAAGTTCATTCCCTTTGTCGGGGTGAGTGTTGCCCGAGTTAACGCTGTTTCGCGCCCGCAAGCATCGGCCCGAGCGTCCCAAAGACCCCTCAGCAAACTGCCGGGTGTATTTTGCTTTCCCAGCAGCTCTGTGCTGCGCCTGCCAGCCCCAAAGCAGGCGCCGTAGCTCTGCCCTGTTCGTTCAGTTCCTCACAGAGAGGACAGCGTGCCGCTGGGATGCTCTCATCCACAGCCCGTCTTTGTCCCAGACCAAAGCACCTCCTTGCTGGAGAATTCCTGCTAGGCCACGTGCAGAGGAAGGTGGTGTGTTCCTGCAAACCTGACCCCAGGGTTGCTGTGCCCAGCGTTGCCCTGGGTGACTGATTTGGCCAAATTTGCTGTTCCAGTGTGCCAGTCCTCTGTCTGTCTGTCACAAACCGCCTCCAGTCCGTTTAATTCTCCGTCCACGCTAGGGAAGTGGAGAGCACACCCCACCAGGGAGGTCATGTGTACCGCTGTTAGGTTCCAGCCTGAGGCAGTAGCTGTTTAATACATTCTATTCTGTGAATATGGATTTTGGGATAGGAGTTCCTGGCTTTTCCTCCTGTCCACATCTTTAAACGCTCCCCACCCAGGCGGCCAAGTGCAGGGTATCTAGGCAGGGGAGTGTTTGTGCTTCTGTCAGTGTACTTTCTGCACGTTGTACTTTGCCTTTTCCAGCTTCCCTTCCCTCATTTGATCATGCTCTCTGATTCCTTATTTTGGATGTAAAGTTATTCAGCTCCTGGATGTCCTCTTCACAGCTTCCGCTCTCTTGTCGCTTCTCTTTCGTGCTGGCTGTCTTGTTCTGCCTTCTCTGTGCTAAGCTGACTTGTGTGCCTTCCCCTTCCTATCCCTGTCAGTTCATCAGGGCTAATCCAGAATCCCAAGGCGTTTAAAGAGCTTAGGCTCTCTTGCCGTCGGGCTGACCCTGCTTTCAACTCTTGTCTCGTCAGTGAGAGTCTCTCCGCAGTGCTCCTGTGACCACGAGCCGCTCGTGTTTGCAGAAGATGTCTTGCCAAGGTGGAGAGACACATCTTCCCAATTTGTTCCCTGCTGCTGAGCTTTGCTGTGATCTTGTCCCTCTCACACTCCGCAGTTGCCGGTGAAGGACTTGTTAGGAAGCAACCGTTTCGCCTTTCCTGGTCACAGGAAAAGCCCGGAAGGGTCTGGAAACACCTGGACTCGCCTCACTGTAGCTGCTCGGCTCTGCAAAGCCTTTCTTTGGGGCTGATTTAGTTCAGTGCTATCTGCAAGCAAATAGGGCTCGGAGGGTTTGTGCAGTTGCTTTAACATGATTGATGTCCTGATATTAGCAATGCTTTTCCTGTCGGGATTTGATTGTCTGAAAGTGGGAAGAGCGAAGAGGTCTGTTGTGTGCATTGCACAGCCGACCCCCAGAACACTTGCCTTGGAAGCACAGACCGATGTCGGCTGGTGGTGAGGGTTGAATCAACACTGCTTGTTCTTCTGAACTCTTCCTGACACAGTAATTCCCCGCGAGACAGGTCTGAGGAGACTCCCAAAGGCCAGTTGCAGGTGTCTCACAAAGTCTGAGGCTGAATGTGAACTCCAAAGCTCCTTCCCTCAGCTGCAGCCTGCTTGGAGCTGTTGGCCAAGGAAGAGAGGGAGCCAGTGATGTTTGGGTTTGCAAATCCTGGTGTTCTGGAGGCTGACTTGTAGGGTGCAAAGCCTGATGTCCTGCACTGGGTTGTGCACAGTCTTTGGCCCAGAAGCCAGCAGGGCAGCGCTGGGCTCTGAATTGACGGGAGCAGAGCCTCACGAGGGGCCAGTCGGATGCGAAAGCCGGGCTGCGCGGTCCTGTGCCTGCATTTTGCCCACAGCCGGTTGCCAGGAGAGTTCATGGGATGAACATTCCTGAAGGGAAAGGAGGCTGGCTGCTGCAGCGTTCGGGGTGAAGGTGTGGTTGGACTGCAGCAGTCTCAAGTGCCTCTGGGAGAAGAGGGAAGGGAAAGTGTTTAGCCTTGTCTTCCTCCCGTGTGTGAACTCGAGGATCACCACTCACCCAGCAAAGGGATGAAGGCCATCTCCTGTCTGCCTCACAGGCCAAGCTGGCTGTAGGCAGTTTTCTCTCGCTTGTTCTTCCCCCAACTTCTGCCTCGCTGCCCTTACAGCTAGTCAGTCTGTGACACATCCTCTTGGTGTTCAGCGCCTACAGCACGAATGACTGTGGGACTCAGAGCCTGGCGTGTCACCTTTTGGGTGGAGACTGACCAAACCGAGCTGCAGCCTCCTCTTCCCCAGCCTGTCCCCGCTCAGGGACCCTCTGCACAGGTCCTGATGGCTTCTCCAAGACTGGGGCTAACACAGGATCCACCAGAAAGCCTGACAGCTGTCTGAGGGGTAGTGTTCAGCGTTCACCCCTCCACCCCAAGCTGTGCAGAGCTTTTTGCTCCTAACAGGTCCTTTTTCTTGATCCCGTAGCACAGAAGCATGCTCCCTAGAGATCTGGTCTAGCCACGGTCATGTCTGAACTTAACCATCTGCTGTTCTCAAACTAAATAGACTCTGTAACACCATTTCTCAGTCCAAAGTGGGTTGTATTGACTTGAGATCCCTTTGCAGCTCCTTCCCATTTGTCAGCCTTTATTCAGGGTAGACATTAGCCCTGGGTACAAGTTTAAGGATGTTAAGACGGGTCTCTCCCCTGCAGTGTTGAGAGTAATGATCCCTGTGCATCCCATAGATTATTGCTACGGAAGGTCCCAGCTTTTATATCACCGAGGGTCACTTTATCTTTCTAGGCATTGTGTTCCTGGGAGCTTGTTTGCTCTGCTCTGTAAATTATTGCCAGTGGCATTTCACATGAACCTAAATGTACTAGCTGATGGTTGGCCCTATCAGAACACATTTGTATTCCTGTTACAGTCTGATTGGGATCGTTCTCAACCATCCACGTGATGGTTTATCCAGGGCTGTGCCCACAAGCTTTGACAGGAGCTTTATGTTCTCTGCTGGGAATCTCTCTTGTTTGGAGCCTAGAAAACTCTGATCAGAAACTGAACTTCATTGCTTTTCTGCTTTCCTAACAGACCCCAGCTGTGCTGTGCACGGGAAGCATGTGCATTGTGTGGTGGAAGCAGTATGTCTGTAACCAGCAGGTCCTTCGGAGCGATGCTGAGGGATATATATGTTCCTTTCTCCTCCTGCTCCCACAGGTGCCACAGGCACTGTCGTTGGCACAGCCTGGGGCTGGCGGTGGGCGTTTCAGAGCTGCGCAGGGCTGTAACAGCTCCGCGGGGTCTGCACTGTCTTGTGTGCGGGTCAGGAGAGGGCCGTGCCCTGGTCTGGTTGGCTGCTGGGACCTGCCCAGCTCTTCGGCAATTCCACTTAACGTGCTTTCACGCTACCCAGCAGAGACAGTGCCGGGGGGGCTGCAGGGATGACCTTCGTCTGGGTTTGGGGATTCCCGAAGTTCAGGGAACTCCTGTTTCACAGAGCTCTTCTCTTTCATCCCCTCTAGGTGGTGAAGGTTGGAATCGTGGAACAATCTTCTGCAACGTCAGGTAACAACACCCTGCGTGTGCTTTGTGTCGTACAGGTGGTGGGAGCCTGACTTCACGGGCTGAGCAAACCTGGTGGAATTGGATTTTATTAACCCCCAGTTCCGACTCCCAGCAGCTGTCCTTGGAAAGAGAGGCCTCTGTCTTTCAAGAGGCCCTTTTTCTCGTTCCTTTACAAGGAGCTTCAGGCCAGCTGAAATTCCCACACCCTCATCCAGGGAAACTCCACTCGTGCAAATGCCCGTCTTTACCTGTGTTCTCCGTGGGGTGGATTCACCACTGTGGTTTTTTGAGGTTCCTGCTCCGCACTGGGGAGGCAGATCGTTGGGGGTCTCCCTACACTGGGCTTGATTGCCTGCTAAAATCACTCCAACGTGTGCCTGACACTGGGAACTCTGGGATAGGCAACCGGTTTCCCAGTCTGACAATGAACGTAGACGCAGTTTAAATGGGAGAGCGTGGGGCTGATTTGCACGACACCGCCTGATTCCACACGTGGACGTGGGGTAGTGCCATTTTATCCATGTGAACTTGTTTTTTCCTCCTTCACAGGCATTACAAGGCAGGAATATTTTTTTTTTTTTCACCTCATCTGTTGGGATTGTTTCTTTTGTTGCTTCACTCTTAAACCCAGACTGCTGTGGCCTGGGTTACACATGGGGGTGTGTGGAGGCAGCCCTCTGGTGGGTCACTCCTGGCTCCCACACTGCTCCCACTTTTCCCAGGAGGATTAAGGGAATGATGCTTTGGTTGTGGAGGGTGGAAGCAGGGGGAATGGGGAGATCCCTGTCATCAGCCCAGAGATACAGGGTTCTCCAAGGGTCCCTGCAGTGGTTGTGGGGGGAGATTCCCCAGGAGGGATCAATGTGCTGGGCTGGGCTCTGACTCTGCAGGAGACTCGGAATCAGCTGGGAGCAAACCCGAGGAGAGCAGATGCCAGGTGGGGAGCCCGGAGGAGTGTGAATGTTCGTGCTTGCCTCCCACCCAAAGTCCCGAAGCTGATGGGCTTTGATCCCTGGATCGAGTCCGAACAGCCCGCCTGCAGCAGGAGCGCGGGCAGGGCAGCTGAGCGCTCCCAGCGTGCACGTGCTGCGCTGCCAGACGAGCCCAGGCAAACAGTTTGGCTTCTTTCCTGCAAGGTGACTCTGATGACGCAGCTCCCTCAAGCTCCAGTGTCCTTTCTTCTACCCCACCTTCTGTGTCTCCTGCTGTGAAAGAAGCCTCCCCCACACCACCGTCCTCACCGTCTGTTACAGGCAGCTTCTCCTCCTCCAGGTAAAGCATGTTTTGTCCCCTTGGCTGTCTCACTGACACGTACACGAGAGAGGAAATCTCCTCTGAAGGAGAACCGGTAGCTCTGCTCTCCTCCTCCTAGCAAACACTTGAAGTCGTCCCCTTCCCCCTTCTCCGCTTGCCTCTGGAGTGACGGTGTCCTGGCTGGCTGACGTGGAGCCGGGGAGGGCAGAGGGGATCTTGCAGCCCACGGGAAGGCTGCGCTTCTCAAGGGCAGGCACATCTGAACCAGAAGGTGCAGCCTTGTTTCCGTGGCCTGGCGGGAAAATATATTGTGATGAGCCAGCCTGGCAGCCTGGTTGGGAAGGTTTGTGCTCTCCATCCGCTGGGGTTTTCCCTTTGGGACTGGATTCTCTTGGGGAGATAGGTAGCCAAAGAAAATGCTGACCCTCATGCACACGGGTGACAGCCTAATCCTCATGATGGTTACGTGTTTTTAAGGACCATGTAAAGTCAGGGTGACTCTGTAGGAGGGGCAGGCTTTGTCTGCGTGAGGGGAGAGCTGACAGGTTGTAAGGAATTGCAGTTCCCATTCGTGTGTGTGCCTGAAAGCATCTCAGAACAGCAAGGGGACAGCACCTGTAACACGTGAAGCTCTGGCTTAGCTGAAATTTTTAGGGGTGAAGGGAGAAAACCACTAGAAAACTGCCAGGAAAAAATTGCCCGGGCCAGGGCTCTCATTTTGTTGCTGCATAAAGCGTTGGTGTAGCTGGTCAGCGCTGGTTAAACGTTCTGGGACCCAATTGAGGGCTCAGGGCAGCACAGGCAGCATGATCAAGGGGGCAGGGCAGCGGCCGTGCGAGGGGAGACCAGGAGCGCTTGGATTCTGTGGTTTGGGGGAAAAGGGGGCGGAGGGAAGCCACTCGAGTTGTGCAAAATTGCGGCGGCGGCAGGTTTGACTATTGAACCATTGTTCGCCGAACCCGTGGTATGAGACCTGGGGACAGGCAGTGACACCGCGAGAGGTCAGCGAAAAGGGAGGACCCAAGGGATGGCCACGTGCAGCAGGAAGGGCGTATTGGGAGCGTGGCTGCAGCAGCAGGATCAGCGGATCGAAGAGGATTTAGACAGATTCACGGACAGCAGATCCGTTAATAGATACTGAAGGACGAGTCAGGGATGCCCCCTCTAACGTTCCTAATCCTGTGGTTGTCAGGCTGGGGAGGTCCAAGGAGATGCTCTGCAATTAGAGACTGGGCTCTTGTGCTCTTCCTAAGCAGCATCTCCCACCATCCCTGCTGGAGACAGAATGGGTACCTTCTCTGTCCCTGTCGGAGACAGAACGGGGACCTTTCCTGCCACCCCAGAGAGCCCTGGGGGACCTTTTGCCTCTGACCTGAGCTGGCTTCAGGGTTCCCTTTTTTACCAAGAGGAAGTGGAAATGAGCAAGTCCCAGTTTAGCGGATGCCCAGCGACTGGAAGGTGTTTGTGGTCTGTGCCAGGAGGTCCCGTTCCCCAAGTCCCTCCTGCTGGCCCCTGCGGTCTGGCAGCAGCTGACAGGCAGTGCAACGAGCCGGAGGCTGCGCAGGCTCTGGAGAGCAGAGCTCTCGTGTGTTGGCTCTGCATGGGCTTTCCAAAGGTGGAAGTGGTTTGGGAATCCACACCCACAAGAACGTAGGGGATTGAAGTTGTGAGCCACGGAGGTGGTACGTCTGGGTGGACACTCCAGCTCTAGGAATCCCGTACTTCTTGGTTTCATGCTGTGTGCTGAAATCATCAAGACATTAGGAAGTTTTTTTACAAGAGCCGGTGGTGATAGGACAAGGGGTAATGGGTATAAATTGAAATCAAGGAGGTTTAGATTAGATGTCAGGAAGAAATTCTTCACAGAGAGGGTGGGGAGGCACTGGGACAGGTTGCCCAGAGAAGCTGTGGATGCCCCATCCCTGGATGTCTTCAAGGCCAGGCTGGATGTGGCTCTGAGCAACCTGGTCTAGTGGAAGGTGTCCCTGCCCATGGCAGGGGGGTTGGAACTAGATGATCTTTAAGGTCCCTGCCAACCCAAACCATTCTGTGATTCTATGATTCTAAGTTTAGGTTCAACCTTGTTCCATCTCCACTCTTCTGTATGTGGCAACGCAGGCAGGGGATGGAGGGTGACCCTGACCTAAAAACCACATGTTTAACTGAGGATGGAACAGAAAATTCTGCCTGGGCATAGCAAACATTAAGATGCTTTGGCTTCACAACTGAGATGAGAAATGTGATGCAAAGGAGCCTTAAAAGCCAAAGCTGCACCTCCAGAACATCATCTTTGAAGAATCTCACTTCTGACATTACCATGAGAAACCAAAACCTGTTTTTTGGTGATCCAAGATGAAGCCAGACTGTAAAGCAGAGTTTAACCAAATAAATGGCACAGAAGAGGAAATGCCTTGCTGAGAGGACCTTAACGATGGGCACGATGTGTTACCATGCAGACTCTTATTACACAGGCAGTGTAGAGGGATGCATAGCATCACAGACTGGTTTGGGTTGGAACGGACCTTAAAGACCATCCAGTCCCACCCCCTGCCATGGGCCGGGACACCTTCCACTAGACCAGGTTGCTCCAAGCCTCATCCAGCCTGGCCTTGGACACTTCCAGGGATGGGGCATCCACAGCTTCTCTGGGCAACCTGTCCCAGTGCCTCACCACCCTCTGCAGAAAGAATTTCGACACCCTGTCCTTGTGTAGGAAGAAGCGTAAGTCATCACCCAGAGGTCGGCTGAGCGATAAACCCCTGCTCCGTGCAGGGTAGCTAGTGAGAGGCAGGAGCAGGCAAGGGGTGGAATTTCCCAGGCTGCTCATCTTCCCTTTTCTGGCTCAGGAAGGCTGGCAGTGTGTTTTGGTGACATGTCTGTTACCACGCGATGCATGGGAGTTTTCAACAGCAGATCATGTCCTGAAATCTGCCGTTGTTTAGCAAACATCACAGGACTGGCGGAGCGTTTTCCCAGCACTGGGATTCCCCACCCCGCAGCAGGCATACAGGGCAGGTTGCCCTGTGCCAGCTCCACTAAGGAGCCTGAAGAGAGCAGGGATCCTGTGTGACCTGGTGGGGCAGCTGGTGACAGGAAGAGCTCATGAACGTGGGAGATGGAAGCAAGCCTAGGGGGCTGGGAACATTCCCTAACGTTCAGGAAACCACCAGCTCTTTGTTTGCCCCAGTTCAGGGATGATTTTGTCAGTGCTGCCTGGCCAGTCGCTCACTCCGTGCTCAGGAGGCAGCAGCAAGGTGCTTACAGCCTCTCTTCCCCACTCAACAACCGGAAGGGATCTGGGCCACCTCCTGGGTTGCCTTGGTTGGCCGGGTCACTGAACTCGGCATCGCGCTAGGAAACTGCTTGTCTGCTCCCCTTCCCGCCCGCAGCAGGTCGGCTTGTCTGGGCTCACTGCGGTTGTGTGATGCCAAGCCGATGCCACCGTGTAACGTGACCCGGCTGCGTCGCTGAGGGATGACTTCCTGTGCTTGGGTGATTCACGTGTGCTGCAAAACGTTGCTGCCTCATTCCTGAAGAGCCAGGTGCTTGTGCCCTGACGGTCTGGTTGGGACTGGCAGCCACTGTGAGAAAACACAGATGGGGAGAACTGAGCGCTGAGCAGAAAGTACCACCTTCTCTTGTTTTCCAGCCAGAGCCTCGGTGCCGAGTTGATGGGCCTGCAGGTGGATTACTGGATCGCAGCTCCACTCATGGACAGGAAGAGAGACCCAGAGAAGAAGGACCCCTCCACTACCAAAAACACACTGAAATGCACTTTCCGGTCCCTCCAGGTCAGCAGGTTACCTGCCAGCGGCGAGATTGCCACCGCTCCGACGATGTCCATGACCGTCGTGACAAAAGAGAAGAACAAGAAAGGTGAGGTGGGCGCGTGCTCTTGCTGAAGGCCACGAATGTAATGCTGCTCTCCCTGTCCTGCTGCTCCAGGGCTGCGTGACTCATCAGTCCTGCCCCACAGCACCTTAGTCATGTTTTTATGCCCAAAACCCTGGTCTGTCTGTAGGTGAGAAGTGACAGCATGAGGTGACAGAGCAGTACCCCTTTGTGCTGGGAACAGGGGATGTGTTCGTCCTTAGAGCTGAACAGCTGTGGTGGTGTAGCCCAAAAGAACAAAGGTGGGGACATGACAGGGACATCTGTGGTGTCCTGCAGGTGCTGTTTGGGCTGTTGCATTAGGGGAGAGGTAGCTTGTGCCATGACCACTGGAGCAGGGACAGTCTGCGGCCTGTACAGAATCACAGC